AATCAAATATTCATTTACACCAGAAATTATTTTGCTAAATTCTCTATTACTGTGAGAGAGTGATTCTTCTTTTTTTGCAGGGAAGGGTGAACAGGGTAGCTGTAAATGCCTCAGGGTGGACTAGCCAGACATCTTTGAAGATGTGGTGTAAGTTTATTGAGAAGTTTACATTTTACTTGACAACTGTGATGATCAAAATAAATTGAAACAAATGGGAAACCAAGGAAATTAGAAGACAAGTTTTCACATAACTCCTAAAAAAATGCACCTTTATCATACAGTCGAATGATACTTATTTGCAGTAAACAAATGGGCTAAATCTGAAACCCTCTTAATCCCTCTTACTTTAACATTCTCTGTATATTATAGTACTCTTCAATTCTTCTGATATAAAAATGCTACTATAAATTTAAGGTTTCCAAAAAGTACACAGAGAATGATGAATGTTTTCTGAAACCGAAATTAAATACTAACTGATTTATCAAACTCCTCAGATAACCAAAGTGTCCAAGGCCTAGAACAGAATACTTAATGACTTTTTTTAGTAAGTTATCATTGATATACACTCTTACGAAGGTTTCACGTGAAAACCAATGTGGTTACTACATTCACCCATATCGAGTCCCCCCTCAAAACCCCATTGCAGTCACTGTCCATCACTGTTGTAAGATGCCACAGTCACTACATGTCTTTTCTGTGCTATACTGTCATCCCAATGATTCCCCCCACACCATATATGCTAATCATAATAGCCTCAATCCCCTTCTCGCTCCCTCCCCAACCGCCCTCTCACACCCCTCTCCTTTGGTAACCGCTAGTGGCTTCTTGGAGTTTGTGAGTCTGCTGCTGTTTTGTTCCTTCGGTTTTGCTTCGTTGCTCTACTCCACAAATGAGGGAAATCATTTGTTATTTGTCTTTCTCTCCCTGACATATTTCACTGAGCATAATACCCTCTAGCTCCATTCATGTTGTTGCAAATGGTAGCATTTGTTTTCTTTGTATGGCTGAATAATATTCTGTTGTGTATATGTACCACTTCTTCTTTATCCATCCGTCTAGTAGTGGACACTTAGGTTGCTTCCATATCATGGCTATTGTAAAGAGTGCTACAATAAACATAGGGGTGCATATGTCTTTTTGAATCTGACAGCTTATTTTCTCTGGGTAAATTCCTAGGAGTGGAATTCCCGGGCTAAATGGAATTTCTATTTTCAGTTTTTGGAGGAACCTCCATATTGCTATCCACAATGGTTGAACTAGTTTACACTCCCACCACCAGTGTAGGAGGAATCCCCTTTCTCCACATCCTAGCCACCATAATTGCTCATAGTTTTTTCTATGTTGGCCATACTAACTGGTGTGAGGAGATATCTCATTGTGCTTTTAAAATTAGTGATGTGGAGCATCTTTTCAAGTGCCTGTTGGCCATGTGAATTTCTTCATTGGAGAAGTGTCTGTTCATATCCTGTGCCCATTTTTTAATCAGGTTATTTGCTGTTTGGGTGTTGAGGCATGTAAGCTCTTTACATATCTTGGATGTCAGTCACTTGTCAGTTATGTCATTTACAAATATATTCTCCCATACTGTAGGATGCCTTTTTGTTCTTCTGATGGTGTCCTTTGCTATACAGAAGCTTGATGTAGTTCCATTTGTTCATTTTTGCTTTTGTTTCCCTCGCCCAAGGAGATGTGTTCAGGAAAAAGTTGCTCATGTTTATGTTCAGGAGATTTTTGCACATGCTGCCTTCTAAGTGTTTTATGGTTTCATGATTTACATTCAGGTCTTTGATCCATTTTGAGTTTACTTTCATGTATGGGGTAAGACAATAATTCAGTTTCATTCTTTTGCATGTAGCTGTCCAGTTTTGTCAACACCAGTTGTTGAAGACGCTGTTGTTTCCCCACTGTATGTCCATGGCTCGTTTATCATATATTTATTGACCATATGTGCTTGGGTTTTTATCTGGGATCCCTAGTGCGTTCCACTGATCCATGGGTCTGTTCTCATGCCAGTACCAAATTGTCTTTGCAGTAGAGCTTGAAGTCAGGGAGCATAATCCCCCACCTGCTTTATTGTTCCTTCTCATGATTGCTTTGGCTATTTGGGGTCTTCCATGGTACCATATGAATTTTAGAACTATGTGATCTAGTTCCTTGAAGAATACTGTTGACATTTTGATAGGGATTGCATTGAATTAGTAGATTGCTTCAGGCAGGATGGCCATTTTGACAGTATTAATTCTTCCTTTCCATGAGCAAGGGATGTTATTTCCATTTATTGGTATCTTCTTTCTCTCGACGGTCTTGTAGTTTTCAGGGTATAGGTCTTTCACTTCCTTCATTCGTTTTATCCATAGGTATTTTATTCTTATTGATGCAATTGTGAATGGAATTGTTTTCCTGATTTCTCTTTCTGCTAGTTAATCATTAGTGTATAGGATGCCAACAGATTTCTCTGTATTAGTTTTGTATCCTCCCACTTTGCTGAATTCAGTTATTAGTTCTAGTAGTGTAGGGGTGGATTCTTCAGGGTTTTTTATGTATAATATCATGTCATCTCAAAGAGTGATGGTTTAACTTCTTCTTTTCCAATCTGGATAACTTTTATTTCTTTGTGTTTTCTGATTGCCATGGCTAGGACCTCCAGTACTATGTTAAATAAAACTGGGGAGAGTGGGCATCCTTGTCTTGTTTCTGATCTTAGAGGAAAAGCTTTCAGCTTCCCACTGTTAAGTATGATGTTGGCTGTGGGTTTGTCATATATGGCCTTTATTATGTTGAGTTACTTGCCCTCTATACTCATTTTGCTGAGATTTTTTACCATGAATGGATGTTGAATGTTGTTGAATGCTTTTTCAGCTTCTATGGAGATGATCATGTGGTTTTTGTCTTTGTTTTTGTCAATGTGGTGGATGATGCTGATGGATGTTTGAATGTTGTACCATCCTTGCATCCATGGAATAAATCATATTTGATCATGATAGACGATCTGTTTGGTATATTTTTTAATTTGATTTTGTTGAGTATTTTTGCACCTAGGTTCACAGGGGTATTGGTCTCTAATTTTCTTTTTTTGTGGGGTATTTGCCTAGTTTTGGTATTAGAGTGATGCTGGCTTCATAGAATGAGGGTGGAAGTATTCCCTCCTCTTCTACTCTTTGGAAAACTTTAAGGGGGATGTGTATTAGGTCTTCACTAAATGTTTGATAAAATTCAGCAGGGAAGCCATCTGGTGCATGAGTTTTACTCTTAGGTAGTTTTTTGATTACCAATTCAGTTTTGCTGTAGGTAATTGGTCGGTTCAGATTTTCTGTTCCTTTTTGGGTCAGCCATGGGAGGTTGTACTTTTCTTGAATGTTGTCCATTTCTTCTAGGTTATCCAGTTTGTTAGCATACAATTTTTCATAGTATTCTCTTCTAATTCTTTGTATTTCTGTGGTGTCCGTTGTGATTTTTCCTTTTCATTTCTGATACTCTTTATGTTTACTCTCTATATTTTCTTGATAAGTCTGGCTAGGGGTTTATCTATTTTGCTTATTTTCTCAAAAAACCAGCTCCTGCTTTCATTGATTCTATTGTTTTAATCTTCTCAATTTATTTAAGTGAGCTCTAATCTTTATTATGTCCCTCCTTCCACTGACTTGGGCCTCATTTGTTCTTCTTTGTCTAGGTTTGTTAATAGTGAGTCCAGACTGTTCATATGGGATTTTTCTTCTTTCCTGAGGTAGGCCCACATTGCAATAAGCTTCCCTCTTAGCACAGCCTTTGCTGCATCCCACAGATTTTATGGTGTTGAATTGGTGTTGTCATTTGCCTCCATATATTGCTTGATCTGTTTTTATTTGGTCATTGATCCACTGATTATTTTAGAGCATATTGTTAAGCCTCCATGTGTTTGTGGGCTTTTTCACTTTCTTTGAGTAATTTATTTCTAGGTTCATACCTTTGTGGTCTGAGAAGCTGGTTGGTACAATTTCAATATTTTTTAATTTACTGAGGCTCTTTTTTGTGGCCTAGTAGATTATCTATTCTGGAAAATGATCCACGTGCACCTGAGAAGAATGTGTATACTGTGGCTTTTTGGTGGAGCATTCTGTAGATATCTGTTAGGTCCATCTGTTCTAAAGCATTGTTCAGTGCCTCTGTCATGTTATTTATTTTCTGTTTGGTTGATTTGTCCTTTGGAGTGAGTGGTGTGTTGAAGTCTCCTAAAATGAATGCATTGCATTCTATTTCCCCTTTTAATTCTGTTAGTATTTGATTCACACATGTAGGTACTCCTGTATTGAGTGCATAGATATTTATAATGTTTATATATCCTCTTGTTGAATTGACCCCTTTATCATTATGTAATGTCATTCTTTGTCTCTTGTGACTTTCTTTGTTTTTAAGTCTATTTTGTCTGATACAAGTACTGCAACTCCTGCTTTTTTCTCCCTATTAGATGCATGAAATATCATTTCCCATCCCTTTACTTTCAGTCTATGTCTTTGGGTTTGAAGTGACTCTCTTGTAGGCAGCATATAGATGGTTCTTCTTCTGTTATTCATTCAGTGACTCTATGTCTTTTGATTGGTGTGTTCAGACCATTTACATTTATAGTGATTATCGATAGTTATGTACTTATTGCCTTTGCAGGCTTTAGATTTGTGGTTACCAAAGGTTCAAGGGTAANATATTGAAACCATAAAACTCTTAGGAAAAAACATAGGCAAAAATCTCTTAGACATAAACATGAGTGACTTCATGAACATATCTCCCCAGGCAAGGGAAACAAAAGCAAATATGAACAGGTGGGACTATATCAAGCTGAAAAGCTTCTGTACAGCAAAGGACACAATCAATAGATCAAAAATGTACCCTACAGTATGGGATATGGTTTTGGGAGGTATATATATATGTATATATATATATATATATGGTTTTGGGAGGAGATATCCACTGCTCTACTCATGCTGCCATCTTGGCTCCGCCTCCCCACAATTACTTTTTTCTATTACTTATACCTGTTGTTCTATGAGTGCCCTGCGGTAGGAAACCCTCTGTTGAAGCTCCCGAAGCTCTCGGTCATCTTGTGCCTCAGCCTGCAGCTTGATTTTGCCGTGATATGAATTCAACAGCTCCAGTTCCTGCTGCAGCTGCATTTTCAAAACCTGGCACTCCGCCTTCTGTGCTTCATCCAAATGCAGCTGAAAGAGAGAAAGAAAACAGATATATCCTCCTGTGAGCTATGAGCTATCTTTTCATGACATCTGGAAAGGAGGAGGTGTAAGTTAAGAAGACTACTCTTCTATAGGGCACAACTGTTCTCTCTTACATCTTGGAGTAAACATCTCTGAAAAAGGAAAACATAGTACCAACGATGGCATTATAAGGATAAAGCTATCATAAGCTATTTGGATGGTGCCTAAATAATCGTTATTTTTTTAAAGAAAAATATAGAATCTGATTGATATAAGACTCTGAATCTTTTTTCTCCAGTGGAAATAACAATAGAACAGGGACAAGCATCCTACAGCTTATGGGCCAAATCTGAATAGCTACCTGAGTTTTTGTTTTGTTTTTCAATAGCCCACTATTTAGGAATGGTTTTTACATTCTGAAATGGCCACATTTTAAATGGCAATGTAAATACCCACATAATAACCTCAATTTTTCCTCCTGGCCCACAAAGCCTAAAATATTTACTATCTGGCCAATTAAGAAAAAGTCTGCAAACTTACATAGCAAATATTTTGTATCTGCACTCAAATGGAACCACCTGGATTCCCAATCAAGTTCTACTTTCTGAACACTGCTTAACAAAGCTGCTTCTCCAATCTTGATATGCTGTTGGTGTGTGTACTAAACACCTGCAAGGCACCAACAGAGAGCCTATGTAGAACCTCATGTCCAAGTGTATCAAAGAGAATTATATATACATCATGCATATTTCCAAGCAATGCTGAGAAGAAGAAGAATATGGACCAGCAGCACTATTTCCCAAGGTGCCACAGTTTTCATTTCCACCTTAATATTTTAATTGTTGGGATTTTATTAATGTGGTGGAAGGAAAGGGGCACTATATTTGTTTTGCCTAAGTAAAATAAACTTACGGCTTGTGTGGAGAGCATTTCACGAATGCTGTGGTCACACTGCTCAGCTAAGATGGCTAACTTCCGGGTCTGCTCCTCCTTAAGCCATTTCAGAACAGCTTTGCGCTCACTCTTTGGTGTAGATTCCCGTAAGTGTTTTCTTAAAGCTTTGTACTGTCTGGTTTGGATTTTGCAGGTGTCCTGGAACTGCTTTTTGATTTGGAGTTTTTTAGACTGTAAAGAAAAGAAACAGACATATAATTTTTAACAGATGGCATTTGGTATAGCTTATGCTTACATGAAAAGGCAACAAAAACTCAGATCATAAGTGGCAGGTACCTCTATATTGGGTCAAACCATTGGATTCTATGCAATTTTATAACAAACTCTAAAACATAAAAATACCAAGAGCTTCATTCATCATAGGACTTCAGGCAATACTTATTTTGTTTTTAATTCAGTGACCTGAGTAAATATTAAAATTACCTTTGATCACTGTGTATATTGATGGCAGAAAATTATATTTCTTTTCATGCACTTAGTAGATATAAAATAATTTTACTGGCCAGTCAATATTTTATCAGATCTCTGAAGCAGAAAATAAGTATATTTACTCTGTTCCTTATCTAAGACATTTTGCTCCAATTTCTCTTAATGATAATCTCAACTGTAAATATAGTCTGTGATGGACCCCATAAAAGTAGGGTACCAGTAACTGACAAATATTGTTATTACAATTGTCTTTTCCTTAAGATACTGAACTAGGTAGAAACTACTTCATAAGGGTTTACTCTTTAGCACCATGAGCAAAAACCTGAAAGTTAACTAACCTTTCAAAGGTCAAAGAAAAGTTATGAGGCAAGGGAAGGGACGACAACCCTTCTTGCGGTAATGATAACAGACATGAACTACATAAACAGTTTTGAGATAAAATAATTTGAGTTCAGAAACAGAATAACTCTGGCTTTAAATCACAGGTTAATTATTCTATGAACTCAAGTTTTAACAAAACTTAGTAAGATGAGATGTATTTTATAAGGTATACCCATCAAGCCCACCAGTAACAACGCTCATTTACTACACAAAGGCAGAACCTATAGTCGAAATTATTTCCCTCAATATATATACTGCCAGATATTGAATGGTTGAGTCAGTGTGCAAATGCATGTATGACCAAACACTATTGTCAAGGAACTAGTTCACACTCTTTGCTCCAATACTACAAAACCAAATATATATGCTTTTCTGCAATTTACACCAATTGAGGTACTAAGCCATAGTCATGTACCTTTATTCTGTGAAGGGTCAAGAAATATCTAGCTAGAAAGACAAACTCTTGGTTTAGTTGGCTTAGCACTGCTCTTAAATACTGCCCTTGGTTAATAAAATTCCTCCAAGTTAGCCAGAAATGGAACAGTGAAATTTAGAATTCTCTTCTGACTTTGTGTAACCACCTCCATTCTTTAAAAAACTTTTAAGTATTCAAATATATTGCCAAGAAAACTATAGACACTCCATATCACTAGCTAATGACAAAAAGGAATGCCCTGGAAAATTTTTTCGACAAGATTAATACTTATACCAAGAACAAACTATATTCCTCAATGTTTCACTCAAGTGAAAGCAGGATAAACATGTTCCAGTTGTTTCTTAATCACTTAATACTGACAAAACATCACCTGATGGCAGATGAAGAAATGGCAGATAGACAATAGGTGTTTACCCAAGTCATTCCACAGAAATGGTGCCCAATGTCTACAAATACTGTCAGCTTATCTAAGTGTGCACACTGAAGTCCTCCCTTAAAGTCTTGGAGAAAGCTGGAATAGTTGCCACTATTGCAGTTGAGCTATTACTTAGTAAATAAAAATTTACCTAAAAAAATTGCAACTGTTACTTACATAAATG